ATTAACATTAATATTGAACTAATTAATTATAATAAAAGTTTTATCAAAATTTATATATGAAAACTCATGATTTCTTTTAACAGTATTACTACTATTAACAGTATACTATTAACAGTATTGCATGAAGACAACAATAACTTCTATTCTAGTCGTCACTCAGTGCATTGAGTACAAGTAGTAAAATTCTTTTATTATTTTTATTAATAAAGAGCACAAATTTAATAATTTAATAATAATTCTATTACAATTTCATTTTTTTCATGTGTTTTGAATAAAACGTATAAAGTTATACAAGCTTTATAGTCAAAATATAATTATTTTTTGTTCAACATTTTTTTTATTATATTTTTTAATGTCAATTGTAATTTAATTTTTTCCATATTCAAAACATTCTTTTAACTATTCGATTTATTTATTATTAATTTAAAATTATTATTAATAAAATTTATAAATTATGTAAATTCAAAATCAAAATTTTTTTTAATAAAAATTTTTAAATATGTATAAATTAGAATTCATTTAAATTAAGTATACGTATATAATTTCCCTTCAATTAATTTTAACTCTTATTAAACCTGTAATTAAAAATAAATATTTTTAATTTGATTTTTCTTTTAAATTTTTTTATTTTTTATTTATAGTAAATATAAAATTTTATAAGCCAAAATTTTTTTATAATAATAAAAAAAAAATAAAAATCTTTAGTATTCTTGTATAATGTTTGTAAGTCGAGTAGTTCAAACTAAAATATTGTAAAATAGAAGAGAAATTGTAATATTATGTAATTTGTTTTTAATAATTATTCTAATATATAATAATGTTCTTATATATAAAAACAAAATTTATACAATTTAAATTAATGAAAAATTTCTTCTTCATCTTTTTTTTTTTAATTGCGTTTTTTTTTTTTTGATAACATTATAAATTATTGAAATTGAATCAAAATTAATTGTAATCAACTCTGAACAACATTAACAACAATATATATGAAATCGCAAATATCAAAACAATTTAAATATTAAAATAAAATTCGAATGATGATAATTTGAAATGATAATCGAATTATAAAAATTTTAATTATATACAAATCACAAAAAAAATATACATATATATTTATATGTAAATTTGTAAGGATGTAAGTATTGATGGGAAATTTACAAAATTCTTAAAAAAAAAATTAAAAATTAAATATTAAATTACGATTTGAGTTATAGACATATAGAAAATAATTTTCCCTATTTTTTCTATTACCTTCTAGAATTTCTAGGATTTTTCCCCTCTAGAACTAGCTAGATTTTCATATTATATAATTTATATAATAATTCTACTTTATAAAAAAAACCCTTGTAGTAAAATTTTTTATTATTTTAAATGCTTTTTTATAAAAAACAAAAAAAAATTCTTTTGTAAAATATTATTGTAAAAAATTATAAATCAAAAAAATATTGAAAAATTTTTGAGTACCTTATAATACTTTTTTCAAATTTTAAATTACATATTTTCAAAATAATTTCCTTATTTTCATTTATTTTACTTTTTTATTCAAAATGTAGATATTTTTTTTAATAAATATATAGAATAAAATAAGTTAAATGTATAATAACGTCATAGGAGTACAAACAAACATATATATAGAAATCATGTATAATAATTATATTTATATACGATGTAGATAATAATAACATCAAAAAAATAATTCAACTGAGAATTATGGAAAATTACGATGTGACATAAAGCAAAAATTATCATTTAAATAAGAGAATTTCACCGTAAATGACAATTTAATTTGACACAATTCTTGTCAACATTATGTGTGGAGAACGAAGGTTAAATATCAACAATATAACAATTTGCTATGACATAATTGAAATTTCCAAAAAATACAAACATAATATGAATATTGTACATAATGAATTATAATTTCATTTTTTAAATAATATTATTAAATTAATTTATTTACCTATACTGTATAATACTATTATAAACTATTTAAATATGAACGATTATTTATTTCTTTACTTTGTATATACATATATAAATTTTTAAAATTATTTTCTATTCTTATTTAATAAATCTTAAACTTTTGTATATACAAATTCTATTTGAATATTTTTAGGTATAATTTTATTTTATTTCTTTACTTATAAATTAATTTCAATTCGGGACGATATAAATTTTTTGTTATATTTTCGATTTTTTCTTTATAATATTTCGACTTTATTAAGAAAATCAAATTCACTGTGAAAAATTTTTGAATAATTTTTTAATACACATTATTAGTACATAATTTACAAATTATTTATAATTATTTCAAACCAACGTGTTGTTTAAAAAAAAAAGTAAAGTTATAATAAAAAAAAACAGATAGCGTATACGTTTATAGTCATAATATATAAGTCAGATAGGAAGAGAAGTTCCATTAAACGATACATTTTCTAAAATATCACCAGACAACAGTCAAAATATTAAAATTCAGATATCACGTCTTATATGGAACTCATACAATCATTTATTTGTTTGGATATCATATAGTTAACATTCGGGTGAAGTCTACTTATTTTCGTTTTTAATTTCATTTTTTGTTTACGTTTTTTACTATGTGTCAATGTTAATAATTATAGGTTAACAATACCATGTGTAGCTGAAAATTATTATAATTCTCATTTTCAATTTCATATATTTTTTTATTATTTACATCCAATTTTCATATATAGAATACTTTTTTGTATTTTAATTCATAATTAGCTATATGATTTTTTTTAATGTTATTATCAATTTGTTACAATTATATTTTAATATTATTTCAATTTTTGTTGTATAGCATATAGTTTAGGTTGTAAATGGGATTACAATAGTCTATTTAGAAATAATTTTTACATATGATATTATAGGTTTTTTTTTTTCGTTCTAAAAAAATAATTTATGCCAAAGTCTTGATCAAAATTTTTAATACGGAGTATTACGAATATTAATATTTAAATTTAAAATTTTCAAATAAAAATTTATTTGAACCTGTATACGCTATCTGAACTAAATCAATATAACACAATATATTCCAAGTTTATGAAAATCTACGAATATTTAAAAATATATTTCTACAAAAATTTTTATTACATAATAAGTCGGTGAAATAGCAAATTGTTTAATTTCCCGTGGAAGATGCAATTGTGCCAACTATCAGCTCAATAATTTTACAAATGATCGCCAAACTGAAATTATTTAAAAAAAGTTATTATTATTTTTATATTTTAATTTAGAGTATGTATGTATATATTCAATTAGATTAGAGAAAGAAAACTGGGCTAGAAAAACCTAGATTAGCTTTGTAAGCCCATGTATTGACATCCAGTTTAAAATAAGCAAATTCCTAGAATCATATAAATAGAATGAAAAATCCCCTAAAGAAACCTAAAAGTAATTGAATAAACAAAATATATACCAGGTAATTATTTAGAATAAGAGAGCAAAGAAAATAAATAATTTTTGTTTTTGAATTTTGTTTAGAAAGAAATTCTTTGCAATTTATTTTTTTTTTACTCCCAAGATGAAAAAAGTTTAGAATTACATATCGACTGATTCCTGTATAAGTGACACCATTTTAATTGAAAATTTCAAAATTTAATTTATTTAATCATTTAAATAAGAAAATAATCAAAAATTTCATTATCTATTTTTGTATTTATAATTATGTTTTTAGACATGGCACTTGAGATAATTTTATAACATTTTAAATCAACTTTATAATTTTTCTAAGGATATGTAATTATTTAGTAAATATGTAATTATTTAGTAAATATGTAATTATTTAATTAATAAAAGGTTAACCTGATTTTTAACAAACAAAAAGTAAAAAAAAAATTCGAATAAAATGTTGTCACTTAAACTCATTCGATATTTAGAATATTGTAGTTATATAAATAATACAAAATCAAAAAAAACAAAGGAAAATTGTATAAATGTTTCTATTTTAAAAGGCTATTTATATAAATGCACACGACATCCGATATGCACTTGTCAAAAAAAAATGTTGGATCTTGTATTTCAAACAAATATTACCGAATTAAATTCGAATTTTCAATTTAAAGCGTCCAATATTGGAATTATTTTCAAAACTATTTTCATTGCTTATAACGTTTTGTACAAACGTCTCTAACACAAAAATAATAACAACAAATGGATAATAGTGCTCAGCATAATTTCAATATTTTGCAGCGTCACAGCAGCATAACATGACAATTGCATGCCGAATGCCGGCGTTTCTATAAGAATAACCGAGCATTTATTTTATTTTTAGTTTAATTTCTTCAAAATATGTCTGTTTATTGCAAAATACAAAATATTATTCAAAATTTCAAAATTTAATATAATACAGATAATTTAAAAAATAATTAAGATATAACAAAGTACATACGTATATCAATACTCGTAAATGAACAGACAGATTAATCAAAATTGTAAAATAAACTGTTATACCATATACTATATAGATAGATAATTAAAAATACTATATAATTAACATAAGTCTAGATTAATATTATAAAAATTTATATAGGATATAAATTATGTATGGATTTATATAGATATAGTTAAAAAAATACATGCTAATATTATTTTTCTCTTTATATGAATATTTAAAATTTGATATATATAGTGAAAATATTTTTTTCCCCCATTTTTTTAAATATTTAAACAAAATCATTTAAAAAAAATTTTATATAGTACTTTCGTAGTACATTGTTTCTTTTATTTTTTACTTATTTTTAAATTTTCCTTTTACTTTCTTTTTAAATTAAAATAAGAAAAAAAAAATTTTTTTAATATAAAAAAATATATTCTATATATTATGAAACAGCTTTAATCTATATACTAATACATATACATATATAATAATAAGAAATTAATATTAAAAAAAAATTTTTAAATACAAATAATAATTTCATTTTTTTATTTTTCTAATACTTCTTCTTATGGATTTTCATTTAAAAAAAATATATATACAGTCAAGTTCAATAAATGTTGGATTTTTGCGTTTATTCCGTGCCGCACGTCTTATTAAATTATTACGTCAAGGATATACAATTAGGATATTACTTTGGACATTCGTTCAATCGTTTAAGGCATTGCCTTATGTATGCTTGCTCATTGCCATGTTATTCTTTATTTATGCGATTATTGGAATGCAGGTATGTAGTTTTATATTAAAAATATTTAAACAAAAAATTTATATTTCTCTAATTATATATCATATTTTTTTTTTTAAATTATACATATAATATTATTATAATTAAAAAAATAATTTATGTTTATGTAAATTTTTATTATTTTTATAATATTTTATTTTTTTATAATTTATTTTTCTAATATAAAAGTTATAAATTTTACAATAAATTTAAAAAATATTTATATATGCATATATTAATATATTTACAATATATATATTTATTTAATTTTAATATTTATATTTTAATTATATTTTAATTTATTTATAAATTTTTATTTTTGTTTTTTTTTTGAAAAAATTAAGCTATAGTTAGCTTGATCATTTTATATAAGAGTATATTCATTATTTTTTTGAACAAAATAAATTAATTTAAAACAAAAAATAAAATAAATAAAATTCATATTACACTCATATAAATATAATAAAAAAATATTTATAAATTATTTTTTTGTATGTATATAATATACATTATCAAATCAGTATATATAATATAATTTATTCACTCTTTATACATCTACATAAATACGAAACTCATATCATCGAATTTATTGTTGGGAATTTTTTTTTTTCAATATATTTTATAAATATATTAATAATTAATATTATATATACGAGTATAATAAAAAAAAATAATGCGAGAATCATATTTTTATGATTATAATATAATTGAAATGGAATATACAACGAAGATATCCTATATACATTAATAAAGTAATTGCAATATATTCAAGTTCAATTTATTAATGTAATTATATTTGTATCTAAAAATTCTTCACAGGGCTATATAAAAAAATAATAATTAAAACAAAAATATTCTTCTTATTTGAAATGCTTTCATTTATTCTCATTTTCTTTTTCAAATTAAATGATTGACTTGTTGCTTTTAATAATTCTCTCCCATATTATTAACTACCTTAGCGAGTTAGAAATCTATAAATTATTAAAATATAAGAAAAATTTATTAAAAATTTTAGATTACAAATTCCCTTATTTCCTCCATCAGTTACAATATACAATATGCAATTAATATATATAAAGGATAATAATTAGATATATTTATTGTATAATATAGATAGTTATAATAAATCACATGAAAAATCACTAAAAAGAAAGAAAGAAATAAACAAAAATAATTTTTATTGTAATATATTGCACTTAAAATAATATGAAATTATTATAAATATTTTATACATAATTGCTTATTTATTTATATACCTTGTATTATAAATTACCAAGTCCATATTATGAGTTCCAAAATAAATCAAAAGAAAAATAATGTAAGGTATACCAAAATATCCAAAAATCGTTAACTACTATTAAAATCATATAAAATTTTAGTGAAAAAATTAATTTTATAGAATATAAATAGAAGAATATATTTTATATAATACATCATAACAATATTAATGGAGTGAAGTACATTAATATATATATATATATATATATATATAATATAATTTATTAAAAGAAAATTTAATGATTTTAATACATATATATAAAGTACAATGGTAATATAATTTATTATATCCCAAATAATTTATAAACCACTTCCATATTTACTTCAGAACGCATTTAAGAAAATAATTATATAAATTTCATATAGATATATATACATAAATAATGAAAATAGTATTCAATATATAAAGCCATATCAAATATATTGTTATTATCAATGATGATATAAAAAATATAATAACACTAAGAGAAGAAAAATGTATAATTTTCGAAGAATACTTAAACAAATTTGAATTAAGCTTTAACAGATTTAATATAAGTGAGATTTAACTTAATTTTTTTTTTTTACAAACTACCACCAAATTTGCAAAGATTTGAATGTAAATAAGAATTAAAGTCTAAACCATACTTATTTTTAAATTTTTTTAAACTTAATTTCAATTTGTTTGAGTGTTAATCAAGAGTTAGAATTTCTTTTTTCTCTCAGTGTACATATATACACTTGAATACAAATAAATTTGTAGTTTTAGTTAATTTCCCACAGATTATATAAATACATACATACATATCATACATATTAGAGATTTTCATATACACAATAAGGAAAAACAGAAATGTGATGCATAAGTGCAATATACGAGTACTTATGTATTTTTGACAGTTGTAACAAAATAAAAACACTATACAGGATGATTTGACTGAGTGACTGTCCTGGTGGTAATGACAATTACAGTGTTGAGAGCGAAATGTTTATAACTAATATTGATTGGCAATATTTTTTTTATGGATATTACTGCAACACAAATTTGACTATACAAATATTGCGATACACAATATTTATGAAAATCTCTATTATTTTATAATACAATAGAATAAAATTGAAATTATTATAGATTTTTATTTTATTTTATTTTTTTTTAAATTTTAATTTTTCTTATAATTTTAAATTATAATAAACATTTTCAGCTACGTATATATATTATATACAAACAAAATATATATAGAGATATTTAATTTAATTATATAAAAACAAATAAATTCTCTGATTCTTCTTCTTATTTGTTCTTCATAATGCATTCAACACGTAAACAAATGTTAAGAAAACAAATGAAAATGTAATATTCTTTAATGTTAATTCAATATAGTCTTTCAATATTATTGATATAATAATTTTACGGATCATATACGCACAAGTATTATATACTAAATTTATTCTACTACTTTTTGTTTTAAATCAATCTCTGAAGTTTATACATATACGAGTACCTTATAGATAACATATCATATATAAAATGAACTTTTGCCACTGAGCCAAAGTAATCGTTTTAGATTTTGATTTACTTAAACCTTAAATAATATTATAGCTATAAAATATATAAATATTTACAAATTATATAAAATAAAGTTAAATAAAGAATAGAAAAAATAATACAAAAAAATTAATTAATTATATTAAATATTTTTGTATATACATATAAGTATACATTTTATATATTTTTATAATAATAAATTATTGAGTGAGTTTTTTTTTTAATTAAACGTTATACTCGTACTATATATTTAATGTGATAAGCATAAATCATATAAACAGAGTTATAAGAATAATTCACTAATTAAGTCATTTCATATTCCTCCTTCAAAAATTTTGATTGTTAACTTAACAAATTGATAGAATTTATTTGCTGTTAAATAGAAATCCGAGCGAAGTTTTCCAAGAACTATGGGAACGAAGTTTTGCAACCACTATGGGAATAATTGAAGTTTTCATGTTAGGGTAAGAGAGTTTTTCACATGAAAGTGACCATCTTCGTTCAAAATCAAAACAAAATGCATAGGTATATACTCGAAAATTTGAATAAAACTTGCTTTGAATTCTCAAAACAATATACATTTTCGAAGATACCTTATATTTAAATTGGTGGAAAACTGTTGGTTGATCTTGGATTCTTACACTAAATCGGAAACATGTATAATTGGGTTTAATCACGATTATTTATTGAAATTCCAGTCTGAACTTCGATTTTCGATCTCACTCATAATTATTATTATTGTTATTTACGTATTATATTCTTTGTATACATATATGTATGTATACATGATATACATATTGATATGGAAACAATAATGATTTTAACTATATTCATATATATACAACTATTAACTTTAGATATAAAAATACAAATCAAGCATACAAAAGCAAAAAAAAAAGGAACAAAGCAAAAATCAACAACTAATTCTAAAATTCTGAAAGTGTCTTACAAAATTTGCTCAATTCGGACTAAAATATTATAAAAATTTTGAACTAAATTGTTATTTCTATATACCAACACATTTTATTTTCTGTAGGGAATACATAATTTTTCTTTTGTTTTTATCTAAAATTTAAAAATTTATTGAGATTGGTTTGTTTTCTTTTTATACAAATATAAATTATATTGTAAATTATTACTCATAAGAAAAACATCATATATAGAAAGGAAAATTAAGAAATATAAAATTATATTAAGAAAAATTAAAACGTTTTAGGAAAAATTAAAAAGCTCTACAAGTATTGGAAATTACACAAAATATTTTTAAAAATTATAGCTAAAAAAAATTTTTTTAACATTCAATATACATGCACACATCATCATTATAAACAAAAAACAAAAAATTTTATAATTTTTTTTTTTTTATTATTGAATACTAATATACGCACAAACATACTTATATTTTATTAATTATAAAATTCGAAATAAAATCGGCTACTTGTAATAAAACATTAAAAATTTATGTATTATTATTGAAAAACAAAAAAAAATTGTAAATCATTTATTTTCTCACTAAAAATTAGCGCTTCTTAGCAAAAAAAATAATAAGCTAAAAAAAACAAAATTCTATATGCAAAATTTCTGTGGCAATAAGGGAAAACTGTTAAAGTCAAAAAAAAATAATGAATGAAATTTTATGTTTTTGCAACTATTTCGAATGTTATAAATTATATAAATTATTATAATCCAGCAAAGTATAACTGAATTTGAAAACAGCTTTTATAATTATAATAAGAAAGTAGAAATGATCGACCGAAAATTAATACGGAAATATTTTTTTAATACATTTTTTTTAAAATGTGCCAATTAATTTCATTTTGACCGTTCTGTCTCACTCATTCTTTTATCTCAATGGGAAAATTATTTTTATTTGAATAAAATCTCTCCATTTATACTACTTTCTAATATAGCTTTTAAATTCTCATTAAATACACGTCTGAGTATTTTCAATTCGTTTTTTATTTAAAAACAGTTAAAATCAATTTGATATCAATTTTTACGGTCACATTGTTTTTCGAAATTAAAAATATTACTAAACTTCTCTAAAAATAACGAAATAACATAAGTAAAAGTTGTCTTACCGAAATTAATTAGATTCAAAACAAAGTATATGAACTAAATTATTCAAAATATGTGTAATATTTTATACTAAACGGAGATATGGCATAATATAGTAAGGCAATGATTTCTTATTAAA